TGAAAATCTGTTCTCAACATACTGCTTAAATATATATATATATTTTTTATCCTCACCCGAGGACATTTTTCCACTTTTTGTTCAGATAGAGCAGGAGGGAGGGAGGGAGGGAGAGAGAGAGAGAGAGAGAGAGAGAGAGAGAGAGAGAGAGAAACATCGATGTGAAAGGGACACATCGAGTGGCTGCCACCCGCACGACCAACCAGGGCCGGGGACAAACTGCAACCGAGGTACGTGCCCTTAGCGGGAACCGAACCCGGGTCTCTCTGGACCGCAGGCCGACGCTCCAACCGCTGAGCCAAACCGGCCAGGGCACTGTTTAAATCTTTTGAAGGTTGCTCTTGGCCTTTCAGAATGCACACTGTACTCCTTAGCAAGGCAGTGTAACCTGGCTTTGGCTTATTTCCCTCACTTTCACCTGTCACCTGTTCCTCTCCAGTTTCTTGTTTGTGTTGTGTTTCTGATACAGTCCATATCTTTGCATTTGCTCTTCCTATTGCGGGAAGGTCCTCTGCTACTTGTGTGCATACACACCCGAGTCTCCCAGGCTACTCCACTGTTGATTGTCCTCCAAGATCTACTTTATCTGTCATGTCCTCTCAGATGCTACCCTTGAACTTTCGTCCCCTGAATATGTGCCCCCCTTCTCTGTGTCCTTGACACCCTATCATTCCCACAGAGAGGGCCCTTACATTTCTGGTGTCTTGCTCGTTTGCTTGACAGTTACCTTCACCTGACTGTGAGGTCCTTAAAGGCAGGAAATTTGCTCTTTGTCTCTCATGCCAGGACCAACCCTAAGGGCTGGAACACAGTCAAGTCTCAATAGCTATTTGCTAATTGACTTGAGAAGCTGCTTAGGGAAGTGACCAGGAATCATCAGCAAATGGATTGCGTGTCAATTAGAACTCTCGAGGATACAAGGGACAGACACTTTCACTCTGGCTTCATTGGCTCCCATGATTGAAAAGTCTACGTGTTGTTCCAGCTTCAAGTATTGCTTGATCCAGCAGTTCAATCAATGTCACCAAACATTGTTTCTCTTCATCTCTCAACCCCTCCACTGCGCTGGCTCCATTCAAAGAGATTCTTTCCTCATGGTAACAAGATGACCGAGAAGCATATCCTTCCATGTTCCACTTGAAAAAAGGTCAACTACCTCGATAGTTCAGAGAAAGAGTAGAATTTACTCCTGTTGCCCCTGACTGGGCCATATGCCCAACCTTGAACTAATCATTGTTGCGTGTAGATAAGACACATTGATTGCTTCACCAGTGATCACGTGCTGAAGCCACGGAATTGGAACTGAGGTCTTGGTGGATTTGGCTTTGTCTCAATCAAGGGGCTAAAACTAGAAATTCCCTGAAAGCAACATCCGGGTACTGTTTGGATTATAAAAAGCAATGACATGCCCAGTACTGTGAAAGAATGGCCTTGGGACAAGTTTGTTCTAATGCTTTACGAAAGTGGACAGTTTAGAAACCATGAGTCTCAAGAGAAATCGATGTTCTTACAACTGCATTGGTTTTGTTTTTTTTCTTTCTGTTGGCATTTCCGCGGACTCTCTGTAAAATGGGGTTTGTCCTTGTTGTGTTTTTAGGTATTCTAACCTATGTAAACTAGAGAGATGTAAGTCGACTGGAGAGATAGTTTAGAGATGCCAGAATCCTACTGCTGCTTGATGAGGCCCCGACATCTTTCCTGGCTTGTAAACTCACTAAAAGTGAGAAGTTTACTAAACTCAAAAATTCCTTCTGGTGACATAGGGCACACTGGGTGGAGATATTTGGTATACTTTAGAAGAACAAATCTTTAGTATCAGGGACACTCAGTCTGAAAGCATCTCGTAGCTCTTTCTGTACAAATTCATTCATGCAAAACTTAATTGAGTTCTTACTGTTCCTAAGGGCACTATTATGGCTGGAGAGGGAGAGAGAGAGAGAAAGAGAACCTTTAAACAAAACAGAATTCAGGGAGCTTACATTATAGAGGGGGAGAGAGAAAGAGAGAGGGACACACACACACACACACACACACAGAGGGAGAGAGAGAGAGAGAGAGAGAGAGAGAGAGAGAGAGAGAGAGAAGAGAGAGAAAACCTTTAAACAAAACAGAATTCAGGGAGCTTACATTATAGAGGGGAAGATAGTCAATAAACACACAAAATAAATAAGATCCTTCCAGATTAGGATAAATGCTATGAAAAAAAAATTGAGAAATATGAATGAGAGGGACTAAGTGAGAAGGGGTTATTTTAAATAGGCTGGCCGAGGATGTCTTTTTGAAAAGGGACATTAAGAGCTGATGCCTGAATGTTGAGAAAGTACCCGCCATGCAGACAGGACTTCCCAAAGATGAGGGCTCAGTTGTCTTAGCTGCTCCTCAAGGTGGGTCCCAGACCAGCAGCAGCACTATCACGGAGAGCTTGTTAGAAAGGCCAGTTAGAGCGTTGGCCTGTGGTCCAGAGAGATCTGGGTTCGGTTCCCGCTAAGGGCATGTACCTTGCTTGCAGTTTGTCCCCAGCCCTGGTTGGGTCGTGTGGGTGGCAACTTTCACGTCGATGTTTCTCTCTCTCTCTCTCCTTCCCACTCTATCTGAATAAAATATGGAAAAATGTCCTCTGTTGAGGATTAAGAAAGAAAGAAAGAAAGAAAGAAAGAAAGAAAGAAAGAAAGAAATGCAGACTCCCAGATTCCACTCTAGACCTACTGAGTCAGAATGTACATTGAACGAAATCTCCCAGGTGGTTTGTAGGCACAGTAAACTTTGAAAAGTGCTGGAAACTCAACCCTTTCTGTACCTCACTGGAAAGGTGTAAATTCTGATGAGCCAGGAAGCAGGAAATGAGGTTGTCAGCAGTCACTAGAAAGATGACAAGGTAACATTTGTTGCTGCCTCTGTGACAGACCAGCCATACTCTTAGGACCACAGTATTATCACAGGTTTGGGTCCTAGCAATTTTCTAGGTTAACTCTCTTGCTTTAAAGAAGACTGGGCCCTGCCCGTGTAGCTCAGTGGTTGAGCTTCCACCCATGCACTAAGAGGTCACCGGTTCAATTCCCAGTCAGGGCACATGCCCAGGTTATGGGCCCGATCCCCGGTGAGGGGCGTGCAGGAGGCGGCCAGTCGATGTTCTCTCTCATCGATGCTTCTTTCTCTCTCTCTCTGTCTCCCTTCCTCTCTCTCTGAAATCAATAAAGAAAAAAAATATTTAAAGAAGACTGAGGTTCTTTGAGGAGCTCCTTTGCAACAGAATCAAGGATCTAGTAGTCTAGGAGTTGCCTGTCTGTGCCACCTTTTAAATATTGACAAGGACAGGTCAGAGTGTGGAGGAGGGTAAGCAGCACTATGAAGTAGTTGGGAAAATTTCACATGAAGCTCTGGCAATGTTTGTTTGTTTGTTTGTTTTTTTGGTAATTTAGAGGGAGAGAGAGAGAGAGAGATTGGTTGTTCCACCTAATTATGCATTCATCGGTTGATTTTTGTATGTGCCCTGACCAGGGATCGAACGCACAACCTTGGTATATTGGGATGATGCTTTAACCAACTGTGCTACCCTGCCATGCTTTCTTTCATTCTGTGAGGGCAAGCTGAGAAAATATGTGTGGGAACCAGGTCCACTTTCAAGAAGCAAATTTGAGCTCAAGACTAGGATCATTTCTGAGGTTTACAGCCACTTAAAAATGGAAGTGCCTGGTATACACAGTGACTTTTCACAATGCCACTCTCTCAGGAATTCAGTCACTGGTAGTGAGCTTGCCTTGATCAGGGTTTTCCAAATGGCAGGCATTTGCATCTTAGAATGTTTTTTTGCCATGTTTAAAAATTGACATAAAAATACAAGTGTAAAGTGAACTTATCTTAGGTGTACAGCTGGATGGATTTTCACATGTCTGTACCTTTGTTAGCCACCATTCAGATAAAAATACACAACGCTTCCAGCATCTCCCTCCCAACCACTGTATATACCTCAATAACTATCAATGTGCACATTCCTGAATTGCGTGTAAAGTGCCTCCACTTTAATGTTTTTCTTTAAGTAGACTCACTTTTGACAACTTTCTATTTGATCGAATACATAACGTCAATGATATAATGGTTTGGCGTGATAGGCATTTCTCCTGCCCACCTCCCATCCGCATTAAAATAAACACACAACTATCAAAACGAAGAAGTTTCTTCCTGTACCAAGAGACCACATGTTGTTTCTCAGATGCCCACCGGATGGTTTCTGAGGTCCTTTGCAGATCCAAGAGTGTATGATTTTGTGATGACTGAGTAGCCAGAAGTTCTGTAATACATTGTTACAATCCTGACGCGGCTATAGGTCCTTTCCATCCGTCCGTCCGTCTACCCACCCATCCACTCATGCATTCATCCACCCACCCACCCATCCACCCATCCATCCATCCATCCATCCACCCATCCACCCATGCATTCATCCATCCACCCATGCATTCATTCACCCATGCATTCATCCATGTAAAACACTTGTTGAATACCTAGCACTAACTCTCCGAGGCTCTGGACGCGGAGAAGACTAAACCCCTTTGATTTTGAGTGGAGAGAAGTAGAAAAGTAAATCATTCCAGTATGTGTGGGGAGTGGCACCACTCAGGTAAGTGCCCGCACACAGAGGAAGGGCGGCTTCCGGAGTTAGGGCAGAGAGGAGAGGGCGGATGGGCATTTTCCCGAGCAGCCTCACCCAGCCACCCCATTTCGGTCACTTTGCCGCCGCGCATCAGTGCCTTGCAGCCTCGGCTTTCCTTAGCAACCGGAGCGCACCGCCCAGGTGTCCGCCTATAGGCCTCCCGGAGCGTGACGGACAGCCCTGCTGCGCAATCCCAGCTCACAGCCCTTAGCTCCACCCTCAATCGAGGGAACTCGGAGGCGTGGCCGCCCTGCCCGGGTAGCCGCCCCTCGCCGAGCGCCTGGTGGCGCATGCGCGGTGGAGGGCTGAGCGCAGGGCCGTCGGGAGCCGGAGCAGCAGAGCCGGAGCTCCGCGGAGATCGCCGTTCTCGCTCCCTGCCTCCGCCTTTGCACCCTCGAGCCGCCGCCGCCGGGGGAGCAGCCGCCCGTTGTTTTTCTCCGCGGCGAAGGTGCGGAGCTGCCCGAGTCGGCCCGTGGGGGAGCCCCGGGCGCCGCACGGTGAGAGTGCAACTTAGTTGGGGGAAGTTTTGTGATTTGAGGAGGGGTCGGGCGACGAGCGCGGGCTCCTCCCCTGCGGCTGCTGCGCGGTCGGGGAGGGGGAGGGGCGCGGGGCCTCGGGGACGGGCCGGGGGCGCGCGCGGGCGGGTGGGCGGATGAATGAGCGGCGGCGGGGCCCCCTCCTCCCCCCGTCCTGCCTCCCGCATTGTCTGCTCGGGGCCGCGGCGCTGCGTGCAGGACCCGCACCCCGACCTCGGGGGCGGCCGCCCGGGCGCCGCGATGTCCCCGCAGGCGCCCCCGCGCTCTCGAGGTCTGGACGCCCAGCCCCGTGCTTGCCCGGTCGGCTCCGCAGGGATCGGGGCGCCGGGGCGGCCCCGTGGGTACCTCGTCCGGCCGAGGCTGCTTGCAAGTGCCGGGGACGCGATGAGCAGCTCTCCGGGCGGACGCGGGCGGTAAACACGCCGGGCCGCGCCCGCCTTCGGGGCGCTCGGGCGCCTGCTCCGGGGGCGCGGCCGGGACCTCCGGGTCGGAGCCGGGGGCCCGAGGGGACCCGCGCCGGGACCGTGCAATCGGCTCCACTCTACACCGACTCGCTTTGAGATCAGCCAGAACTTTTTATTCGTAAATACGGCTTTCGGACACCTTTTTCCCCCCTTCCTCCAAAGCCAACCGGTCTGTGGAGAATTTTTAAACAATATGGGGAAATCCCTCAAAATAAGTTACAGACACAGGTTTGTTTGTTGTTTTAAATTTTTTTTTTTCTAAATAGTTCGTAGAGCAAAATGATTCCGTCTCTTTTATCTTAGGATCCACCGTGAAAGTTGGATTGTATTTCTGTTGTTCATTCTCGGCTTTTACATTTATTTTGAGAGTTTTTTTTGCCTCAGGCGTATAGAACTAAAGGGAAAGGAAATGTGTGCTCCTTTTTTCTTATTCCTCTTTATTTTCAGAAGCAGCAGCTTCTATTTTTCGAAAACATTGGGTTGCCCAGTTCAGGATAAATGCCGCTGTTTTTGAGAGATGACTTTTTTCTTTCTTTTTTTGCAAGTTTGTAAAGAAGTTCAGATCTGCTGAGATAAATCAGTGCTACAGTTCTTGTATTCCTTCCTGGCCTCTTAGGGATTTGCAGACTGCATTCAGTACCAGCCTTGTGAAGTTTTGAGTGCATGGTTCTGCTGAATTTGGTTCATTTAGCTTATCAAGTGAGAATAATTCTGTTTAAATCCTCTACCTGGAACGGGCTTAAATGGCCAGATTGGTAGTGAAACAAAATGACCAGGATGTGTTAATATCAGGTGTTACATGCCTTTGCCATCTGCTAAATTAAGGAGAAAATTTACCCTGGCTGGTTTGGCTCAGGGGTTAGAGTGTGGGCCAGCGGAAAAGGTCCCAGGTTCTATTCCAGGTCCGGGGCATGTACCTGGGTTGCAGGTTCCATCCCCATGAAGATGGTTGGGGAGGCGGCCTATTGATGTCTCTCCCTCCACCTCCCTCCTTACCACTGAAAATCAATGGAAAAATATCCTCGGGTGAGGATTAACCAAAAAAAAGAAAAAGAAAGAAAATTTGAGAAATAGTATGTGTGTGTTCATTTGCTTTGATTGATTTTCTCATGGTAAGTGAGTAATGTAGAAAGTGTTCTGGGTTTTTCTGGTTGATTGGCCTCATTTTGCTTTAAAACAACTTCACCTGACGGAGCTAAAGAAAAATGTCTTAATGGCATACGAATTGTCCTTTTTTTCTTTAACAGTTATATTAACAAAAAATAAACATTGTACCTTTAAACTACAACAGTAAATTACAACAGGGTGGTCACTTTTACTCAACAACCCTTGCTCTTTTCTCTTTCCTTTTTGGTTATGTGTGCCTGTGTAGGGGGTGGTAGGGCAGGAGGTTGGCAGGATTGAAGGGGTTGTCAGGGAGGAACAAAATGTAAACAAACACTATTACAACATAATGTGACAAGTAGGCCAGTTGCTTTCCTTCTCTGAGCTGTGATAGCATGTCATACATACTTTTGTTTTAGGGTTTCTCACACATCATTTATTTGCCTGACTAATGCTAACGATCTATGTAGTATAAATGAACTCCTTCTCTAGTCTGACTCCTTGAGACTTGTAATGGGCCTTGTTTCTTATTTTACTTTGTGTGGTCTTTGCTAGAAAGGAGTCTTAAAACAGTGCAGGTGTTCAGTGTGTGTTTGAATCGGGGGAAGTATTTTGTACTCGCCGGTGGTTGTGCACTCTGGGGGCTAGTCCAAAATGACAGTTCACTTGCTCATCTCTGATGGAACTGAGTTTACTTTAAAAGGGTGTCTGACTTTTCTTTTTCATCTGTTAGTTCTTGAAAAGAAGTGAGGTTTAAAGAGTGCACTGTGGCCCTGGCCGGTTTGGCTCAGCGGTTGGAACGTCGGCTTGCGGTACAGAGAGACCCGGGTTCGGTTCCCGCTAAGGGCACGTACCTCGGATGCAGTTTGTCCCCGGCCCTGGTTGGTCGTGCGGGTGGCAGCCACTCGATGTGTCCCTTCACGTCGATGTTTCTCTCTCTCTCTCTCTCTCTCTCTCTCTCTACCTCTCTCTCCCTCCCGCTCTATCTGAACAAAAAATGGAAAAATGTTCTCGGGTGAGGATTAAAAAAAAAAGAGTGCACTGTGGATTTCAAAAAGTGGTTCTGATTGAGAAATGGTCTCCCTTTTTTGGTGGAACGATTAAGATTGCTGGGAAAATGGATTCCTTCTCTGCCCATTCCCCTGTTGTGAAATGGGGAGCTAGCAGAGTTTAGCAGAACAGACATTCTTTGAAGCTAGGTAAATTTGAGTTCAAATCCCCACACTTCCATTGACTAGTGTAACCTTGGGCAGGTCACTTCACTTCTCAGAGCTTGGGTTACCTACCATGGGAGGGGTAGTAGCACACTTGCATTGTTTTTAGGAATAAACGAAATTTTGTGGTTAAGTAGGTGCCTATTCCCTGGTTGCTGTAATGATGGTAATCTCGATACATTGTAGATGGCTTAAAAATGCATTTTTAAAAGTCTGATGCTTCTGAGTATAGGAGTTTAGTTAGCTATTTCTTTCATGAGTAGGGAATCCTGAGAATTTAGTCTGAATCAGATGCAATTTTTGTGTGTGTGTGTGTGGTACGTGCCCGGGAACCGAACCCGGGACTCTGTGGTCCACGGGCCGACACTGAACCGCTGAGTCAAACTGGTCAGGGCAATCAGATGCAATTTTTTAAAGGTGCTAGTTGAACCGAGTGTTACTAGAAACAACTTTTACTTTCTGAATCACTTGTTAGTCATTGAGTGGAACTTGCAGTGGCTTGGTTGGGTAGAACTCTGTACATTTACAGTGTTTAGGAAATTGATTGTTTTCAACGTTTGTGATGGTTATTTAGACAGTCCCAGCTTTTCTTCCTTATTTTACCTTGGTTTTGAAAAGGGATAGATATGGATTTTGACTGCATTTCTCAAGCTCGCTTAAGATAGAACTGGACTGGGGGTTAATATAGTGTTAGTACAATTCAGAGGTATGAACAAATCACTCACTTCCTCTTCAAGATAACATTTTTTTCAAGGTGCCACCATTTACGGAAGGAGGCACGTGATTTAATCAGCTATACCAGCTCAGCTCAAAATAGCCACAATACCAAATGGAATAGCTACATTCTGGAACTATTAACCTGTAATGAACATTGTCTTTTGTATATTGACTCTCATTTTTCCATTTATTCTCTTAGAAAATAAGGATTTCATATCTTATTTGTATCTTACAAATAAGGATTAAAAAAAGACACATAAGGGTGTCTGTAGTTTTCTTATAAGATAAGGATTTGAACCAGGAAGGATTATAATAAATAATGAACCTTTAAAAATTATATTTGATCAGACTCATAGATTGAAGGGAAAAAATCCTTGACAAAGCTAGATGAACAGACTTGGAGTTTTGAGAACCCCCTCTTTGTTTTTTTTTTTTGTTTGTTTTTTTCTTTTTAATCCTCATCCGAGGACATTTTTCCATTTTTTGTACAGATAGAGTGAGAGGGAGAGAGAGGAAGAGAGAGAGAGGGAAACATCGATGTGAAAGGGACACATCGAGTGGCTGCCACCCGCACGACCAACCAGGGCCGGGGACAAACTGCAACCGAGGTACGTGCCCTTAGCGGGAACCGAACCCGGGTCTCTCAGGACCGCAGGCGGATGCTCTAACCGCTGAGCCAAACCGGCCAGGGCGAGAACCCCCTCTTTGAAAGTTAACACTGAAGTGCACTAGAGTAGACTTGGTTATTAATGATGGGAACAGGCGTCCACTTGGAGGCTCCTTAGTCAGTTACTGTCAGGCTGTCTTACCCACTGTAGCGGGGCAAAGGAAGGAAATCTGTTTCATTGTTAGTGGAAGGAAGTTTGTATCATTTATATGTCCTCTCGTGTATGGTCTTGTTGATTGGGACATACATAGAAGATGATGGGGAAGGTGGATAACAGTGGTTTGTGATGTGGGTTTGGGAGTGGGGTGAAGGGAAAGGTATGAGGGGTTTACGATTTATTTCACTCTGTGCACTCTGCTTTGAGAATTAGTCCTTCTCAGTTTTGACTTCTGATGATACCATAAGCCCATATATGGCCATGGCCTCTTACCCTAAATGGCCAGCTATTCCTGCATGGTTAGGAATTAAGAAAGTATGTCACAGCCCTGGCCGGTTTGGCTCAGCGGTTAGAGCGTTGGCCTGCGGTCCAGAGAGACCCGGGTTTGGTCCCTGTTAAGGTCATGTGCCTCGGTTGCAGTTTGTCCCCGACCCTGGTTGGTTGTGCGGGTGGCGGCCACTCGATGTGTCCCTTTCACGTTGATGTTTCTCTCTCCCCCTCCCCACTCTTATCTGAACAAAAAATGGAAAACAAGGTCCTCGGGTGAGGATAAAAAAAAAAAAGAGAGAGTACAAAAGAAGATAGTGTAGTTTTCTAAGCTTTAGTCATTTTCTTAAATTATTAATATTTTTAAATTG